CTTCTTGAACCCCCCCGCCCCGCGCGGGATACCCGGCACGTCCGCAACGTTCGTTCGCACCCCGAGGAGAGGCCCAACCCCCCCATCCACGGGAACCATGAAACGTTTAATGGAGTTCGGCCGAACGCGAGTCGCATGTGAAGCCACGCGGCTTCCGGTGCCACCCAGAAAGGGGGATATGCCCCCCCCCCCCGCGATCCAACCCCATTTTCATCCCTCAGGAGGGGTTGGTGTTTATGGAAAAATCCCTTGAAACCAGCCTCGCCCACATACACCGGGGGAGGGAAAGAAATGAGAGCTTAATGCACTTTGCTTCTTCGCGTTCCCGGGGAAAGTTCCCCCTCCCCCCGTCCTTTTCTTCCGTTTTTTCCAATTTTTTCGACCCTCTCACGCGATTCCCGAAATTTTGAAATTTTCCGCCCGGCAAGGGGATCGTGAAAACGCGCCCTAAGAGGCACGGGGGGGGGGGGGCGGTAATCAAAGAGCCGATCAATTTCGAAAGAGGAAACGCCACCCACCTGGGGGGAGGGGATTTCCGACCGGAGATCGCCAAACCGGGGGATACGAATTTTCGTCTGGCGGATTTTCCTTTTCTCCTCCTCCTCCTCTTCTTCTCTTTCCTCCTTTTTCTCCCTTTTTAATTGCGTTTCCTTATCCTCCTTTTTCCTGCCCCCCCTTCCTTCCTTACCCCGTTTTCTCGTCTTTTTCTCTCGCGTTCCCGGGTAATGCCGTTGCCCCGCGCCCCCCCCCCTCCGGGGCCTCCCTCTTTTTCGTGTATTTTTTTTCCTACTCCCCCTCCCTCGTTCCTTAACCTCCCTTTTCTTTATTATCCACCGCTCGGCGGAACCTTACCTTAATTTAAGGGGTTGCTCGTTCTCGAGAGCTCCTCGCCCTCACCGGTTAGAGTCTTACAACGATTGTTATCTTTTGTTCGAGAGGAGGCGAACGGAGAAAGGGACCGACTCCGGAGGAAGAAAAAAGGAGGGAAAATAGAAACGAGGAGGGGGGGGCGAGGGTGGAGGAGGGACGAGCCGAGAAGCGAGAGTTACGCGCTAGTTAATCCTCCCGAAATTCCGGAGGACTTGGTTTCTCTTTCTTTTCTCCCTTTTTGACGTTTTCTTCTTCTTTTTTTTTTTGACAGCGACGTCGCCGCTCCCCCCCCCACCCTTGTTTTTTTTTTGGGAAGGGTAATTTTTCCGAGGATAAATTATCCAATGGGGGAAACTGGCGACGGGGGGTGTTGGGACCCCCTTATGGGGAGTTCTTTCACGGGGGGTGGAATCGGTTGACAGGGGGTCAGGTGTCACTTAAGTGGCCGTCTTGGCAGTTCCGGTGACGGAGTGCACTTTACCCTCGGTACTCTTCGATATGTCAAGCCAGCGATGGCACGGGCATTACGTCAATCGGTTAGAAGTGGATTACTATACTTCACACGCGACACTTCACCCCCGGGGGAGGGGATGATGGGATCGGAAGTGGAAACGCACTTCCGCCGGTACACAGGGTTAAGTGGGCACAGGGACATAAAGGCGCCGGCCGAGTGGATTACTTCCGACACCGATGTCGTGAATAGCCTGGATGTGTCCTGGATATCGCGGATATCGACCGGCACTACCGGATGTTTACCAATTAATTGATAACCCCTTTACCACCCACCAAGGGGGAGGCAAGATCGACGGGGAGATGGATTCCCAATAAAGGAGCCCCGGAAGGCCCCTTGAGTCGCGAAGCCCGCGAGATATTAATTTTTCCCCGTTTCCTAGGATTTCGAAAAGTTACCCGGACCCGACAGTACGGTCCAGGGGGGGTCCAGGAGTGTCCTGTATTTTTTGGGGGAATTTCGCAAGGGGTGGGATCGATGCCATCCGAGTGATTAAATCGAAACATGCATCTAGGTGGTGTCACGTGGGGTGCCCGAAAAGAGGGGCAGGAGGTCATGCCGGAATAATGGTCGATCTTTTGACTCACCTGGGGGTGGTTTTCGGAAAATCCCTCAAAGGTCGTCTCGGGGGCTTCGTCCGTTCTGCTCGGCTCGGCACTTCCGGGGTAACTGAGGCACTTCCGGCTCGGGGGCTTCCGGGGGCGCGGAGCACCCTCGTGCTCGACCGGGCCGCGAGGGTGTCCTCCCTGGAAGTACCACGCGGACAAACATCGGGGGAGGAACTGCGATACGTTGGCTCACCCCCGGACCGTCCACCCCCGGGTCTCGGCTCGGCGCATGCGCGGTTTTTAAGCGCCGAAACCCACCCCCGCGGTCGAGTGCGCGAACGCCGCCTCGCGTCCCCCGGATCGCATCTCGAAGAGGGGGGTGGGATTTTCGAAAAGGGGTCCTGCAACGCGGGGGGAGGATCTCAAGCCACCCCAGGATGGCCAGGGGGTTGCAATTCTCCTTTCTTTTTTTAGTCTCCGAAAATTCCAATTCTTTTTTATTTCTCCTTTACTTTTTTTCTCTCGCCCGGGGTTGAGGTAGGGTTGAAGGGGTGGATTTTTTTGTATGCTTTTTTTCCCGTTTCGAAAAAAGTAGCCCCGTTTCCGGAGCCTAGGGAGCTCGGAATAAAAGGTCGGGGGATAGGGGTTGATTTCGAGGCGGCGTACGCCGGCGTGCGAGGCAGGGCGCATGCGCGCCACGCTCGGAAGAGGGGTGGCCCCGGGGGTGTGAGGGTGAGTCAGTCAGGCCGCGACGCGCGCGAAGAAAACTACCCCTTTACGCCGGGCCAGGGTGAGCGCTCTCTCGGACGTCGGCCGCCTCGCGAGTTTTCCGACTCCCCCACCCCGCGGAGAGCTTGCGGAGAGCCGGCGGAAGGAAGGCGGAGACCACCCCCCGAGGGCCCGGGAAAAATCGGAGAGCCGGATATCCGGGAAAAAGTCCCGAGGACGGGCGAGGGTGAGGGCGGGCGAAAGGAGCCGGGAAAGCGCCGGCGAGTTTCCGCCGCGGAAAAGCCGCCCGAGTCTCCACCCCTGTGTCGAAGACCACCAGGAGGCCGCCGAAACGCAAGATAAATGTTAGGAGCTCCCCTCGGCCGCGCCCCGAGAAAAGTCGCGGGGAAAATTCGGAAAACTACGCGAGTGGAAGAGCGGCCATTCCGCCGCGGACGAGTCGCCGTCGGGGAGGGGAAGTGAGGCTTCCTCGAGGGGACGTCGGGAGCCCGGAGGACAGCCCAGGGAGGAGGGGCTCGAGTTTCCACGGATCTGAGAAAAGTCCGGAAAAGCCCGAGGGGCGGTTCTGACTCCTCGGCCACGACGTTTTTCGCTTTTCCGGAGGTTCCGCTGTCCACCTTTTTCTCCGGCCGGATAAGATTGGAGGAAAGGATCGGGAAGCACTTCGGAGGGTAGTCCCGGGAAAGTGCCGGGAAAATTGGACGCCCTGGTTGGCGTATTTTCCGGGGATTCCGCGAGGCCAGTGGAGGAGCCGCTCGTGTGGTCAGCCGGTGGAGGCGCGAGCCATGTCCGCCCGAGGTGGATGTTTTATTCATGCCTGGCGAGCGATCTCTCGAATCTCTCGAATCTCTCGAATCTCTCGAATCTCTCGAACCGAGGGGCGCCTCCTCGTCTAAGGAAGTTATCAGCGAGGGGGGAATCGCACCAGGGAGTGGGCGGAAAAAAAGGGAAAAGCCGAGTCGCGATTTTCGCCCGACCGGAGGACACCCGAGGGCCGCCGATTTGGAGGACTAAAAATTGAAAAAAAAAAATTAACCGAGGAGCGTTTCATCTTTGAGAGTCTTCCAAGGAGGAGTTCCCCGATGACCGTGCTTCCTCAAGGTAGTAGGTGGGCGTGGGGTTCCCAGGGGGGCTGGAAATAATCGGCGAAATAACCGGCGGGGACGGGCGAAGGAATCGACCGTGGAGGACCCTCGGCCCGGTAACCGGGTCAAGAAAGCCGAGAGGGAAAACCCGGGCCCGGGGAAATGAAAAGCCCTCGGCGGGGGTTCCGCCAGGCGGGCGGGAAAGCCTCTTCCCCGGGAGCGCGAAGCGCCGCCCGGAAGTAGCCCCGAGGGGGCACCGGAAGTGGCCGGCCTCGGCGGGAAACCGGGACCCCGGAAGCGGGGCTTCCCCGCGGGGGTTTCCGCCCGTGCGATAGGGACTCCCAGGAGAGCGGAATATGGGATGGTCCTGGAATCACAGGAAGAAAGTGACCAGCTAATAGCCGGGCCCCCGCGGGAGCAGCGAGCCGTTCCCGAAGGATAATCCCCTGCCAGGAGAGGAGAGGACACCCCGAAAGAAGACCCTCCACCTTAACCGCGACCATACCGGGAGAAAGGAAAAATTACCAACCCCCGAAACTCCCCGAGATCCCGCGGGAAACCTTCTCCGGACCTTCCCCGACCCTTCTAACGATACTTAAAAAAATAAACCCCCTCGGGGGAAAAGTCACTCCGAGTAGTACCATCGGGGGGACGCGGCGCCACCGCGGTTTGCCTATTTTTTACTAACCCTTCCGACGAGCGGACGTCCTCGGGGTAGCTACTCCGGGGAGGAGACACCTTCCCACCCTTGGGGGAAAAATCCAGAAGATTGGGCAACCTCCGAGGTCGAGTCAACAGTGAGTTCCAGTAGTGGCAGTAGGGCGAGCGCGGCCCCGTCTGCCTCCACCTTCTCGGCCGGCGAGAAGAGACTCTCCTCTTCCCCATTCGTGCCTACCGGCCTGATTTAAATTTTCACAGCCCCCCCGCACCCGTGCGGCGCGACCGGACAGTAGTGACCGCGTCTCTCTATCTGGGAAAAAATCCCGAAGGTGATCCGACCTCCGAGGTCGGGTCTACAGCGACCTCCAGCAGTGGCAGTAGTGTAAGCAGGCTGCGATCAGCCGCCACCCCTTCGACCTGCGATCGGCGACTTTCCACCCGGTTTTTCCCCCCTATCTTCTTCTTATTTTTTTTTTTTAATTTATCTTCCCCCCCAACCGTGCCTGCCGGCGATGCGACGCTGGATTTCGGTTACCCGAGGCCTTCTACACCTGTGCGGTATGTTCTGACGATAGTGATCTTCCTTTTCAACCAGGTAGTCGAGGAAGTGGTGTCGTTTCCGAGTGCCGTGGCCGGTGACGAGGCGAGCGTGGAATAGTGGTCAATATGACACCGATCCTCCTCGTCCTGTTGGCGGCGATCGACCCAATTTTCACGCAGAATGCCGGTGAGTAAAAGTCCTGGGGAAAGGCCCGGAAAATCTCGGACTAACAGTCGCGAGTGCGATCAGACTCTTGAGTGGACTCTGGTGGACTCTTCGAGCGCTTTTGGACAGTTCTGACGGGAATTCCCTCATTATTTTTTTTTATTTTTTTTTTCCGAGGAGCTTTCTCACCTGCTTTCGCTTTTCTCTCGGAGAGGGCACAATTGACGGCGTTCTCAATTTATTATGTATTTTTTTAAATTTTTTCTTATGGCAATACACGCGACCTCGGTGCTGATGTCAGTTTGGGTGATTCGGAAAAGCTCGGGAAAAGGGAGGATAAAAAATATATATATAAGTCATTTCGTAAAGAGGGCGAAGCGGCTCGCGTGACTCACGAACGTTCACTTTCTCCGTACTGATTAATTAGGGGAAAGGATTGTTTGGCTTGGACCGAAGTAATTGCCAGGAATTTACGCCCGGATCGCCGGTTAATGGCCGTCACGGAGATCCCGGTTGGTTCTTACGAATTGCCCAAATATTTCCCGTCGCTTTCCTTATACGGCTTTCCCTTGAGGAGAGGAGGCCGGTGAAAGCAGGTGGGAAGCTCGGAGGTGAAAATCGAAGAAAGCTCGAGGAGTGGCGAGAACCGACGAAAGCGACGTCGCTTGTGGACTGCGAGAACTCTGGACTGCGGAAAAAGGAAAAAAGAAAAGAAAAGTCCCACGGCCGAGCTTTCGAGATCTCGAATCGACAATCGAACGATGCGCTGCGATTTCCCCCGTTGTTTCCGGTCGAGTCTTTCCGAGAGCGCCGGGAATTCCCAAGGATTGGAAAAATTAGGAAAATTCATAGGAGGCTCGAAAATGGCGCGGCTCGGAATTCCGCAAGCTCGGAAAGACTCGACGGGTTTTCAGTGTCTAGGATAAGAGGACGCTTGCGAGACTCCGAAAGCTCCTCGATGATGATGCCGCTGGGATCTCCCGGATCCCTTTCCACGTCGAGACTTTCCGAGGGCGCCGAAAATTCGCGGGAATGAAAAATCGGGAAAACTCACGGGTAGGCTGAAAGACACGATGAAATCGGAATTTTCGCAAGCTCGGAAAGACTCGACGGGTTTTCAGTGTCTAGGATAAGAGGACGCTTGCGAGACTGCGAAAGCTCCTCGATGATGATGCCGCTGGGATCTCCCGGATCCCTTTCCACGTCGAGACTTTCCGAGGGCGCCGAAAATTCGCGGGAATGATAAATCGGGAAAACTCATGGGTAGGCTGAAAGACACGATGAAATCGGAATTTTCGCAAGCTCGGAAAGCCTCGAGGGGTTTTCAGTCCTAGGATAAGAGCGAGGTGCGATCCGTCATGAGAGTGGCGAAACTGCGGACTTGCTGAGCGGAATATCTTCGGGTAAGGATGTCTTCAAGCGACGCTTAAATTGTTCCTTAAAAGGCGTGCTAGGGGCGTAACGAGTAAATCATGTAATAGAGAATAAGTGCCCGTAAGAAATTGTCCGATTCGCGTGGAAAGCTCGAGCGAGAAGTCGCCCATTAGGTTCCTTGAAAAGTCCGTCGTCGAGGTCGACGAGGGCGCAGAAGAGACGCCAACTCGCGGTAAATGGTCTCTACAGAGTAGGGGGTGGAAGCGAAAAGTGAGGGGGGGGGGGGGTAACAATTCACCCCGGTATTTCGGCAAGACACGCGATCGCGCTTCGTCAAGGGTATTGAAAAATATTCGAGGTCTGGGGGAGAACAACCCCTCTCGTCGGGGTGCGATCGCCGGGCGAAAACCACCCCCGAGACGGCGGCGGGGGCGACGTCTTTTTCCTCGGTCCACCCCCTCGTCGTCGTCGGTTCCTTTAATTTAAATTCGACAGATTGAGTTTCCGGGACGGGGGGAGCGACGTGCTCTGCCCTGGGGGATGCTCACCCCCGCCCCTCGCCCCACAACCGGCGAAAATTCGAGGGATTGGCGGACGCTTCCGTCGTCCCTCGGGGGATGACTGGAGCCCGGGAAACGAGGAGGGAGGAAAAGAGAAACGAGGAAACAGAGAGGAGGGAAAAAGGATACGTCCCAGGGAAATCGGCCGATGCGAGTGTAAGGGGTGACGTTTTGCGGCGGAATTTCATTCCGCCGATTTTTAAGGGTGGCCGAATTCTTTCCACCGATTTTATAAGGGGTGGCCCCATTTTTTTTCCTGCGATGCTAAGGGCGCAAGAATCCTTGGATGACCACAATTCCGCCGCCGTATCTGTTGTATTTGAGAAGCAATCAGTAATCGAAGGAAAAATGACGTGGTCAATTAGTGAGGGCTGTTAAAGCGGCGGTGGGTGGGGGGGTGGGTGGGTGGGCCGGTAATTACCTCGTTATCGTCTGGAATCGTCGCCGGATAAGGACCAGCCCCCTAAGACCGTGGAACTTCCAGGGTCCCACCCTCGATTTAAATCCGACAGATTGAGACCCAGAGGGGTGGTGGGCGCCTCCCCCCCCGCCACCCACCCTTGAAAATCCGACGTCTTCGCCTACCCTCCCCAACTCGGTTGAATCCGTCGATTCGATAATTATTTCGTTGACCTTCTTTCCCCCCACAGCGACTTTCTAATCGCCCCTTGATTAAGGCGCTCGATAATTAAATTCACCCCCACCCTTAATTGGCACCCCTTGTAATCGTAATTAAGGATTCCCCAAATTCCCGCCTCCGTTAATCACGCGATTCGCGCCCGCGTTTTCGGAAACGGGCGAAAATTCCTCGGCTTTCCTCCCCCCACTTTGTACGTCTCTCTTTCCCTCTCATTTCTCTCCCTTTCCGAGGAATTATTTACGCCCCTCTGTTTATCTTCCCAACCCCCCGCCGAGGGTTCCCAAAAGAAATACCGCCGTTAATACTTCCGCCGATACTTTATCGAGAAATCGTCGCCATCTTGCCCCCGCATTTTCCGAATTCTCGGGGGGGGGTTGAAAGAGGGAGGGTGTCAGGGGGGGGGGGTGCGAGCCCAAAGGGGCGGTCCTCGTAAATTCCACTTAACCAGGCTGCCGCAAATCACACGATCGGCGGATTATCGGAATAAAAGTGTATTTCCCTCGCGACCGGTCCCGAGGGGGGTGCTTCCCTCCCCCTACCACCCCATCTCTTTTTTTTTTTAATATCATTTTTACTCCCTTTTCCCCTTTTTCTTTAATCTCGCTCCCTGGTTTCTCCACCCGGCTCGCCGGACGCTTTTCCCTCCCTTTTTCACCCGTTCCTCCTCCTCTCTTTTTCGACCGGTCCGTCTATCGGGGTGCTAATTTATTTCCTGGCCGTGTGTACACCCCCCCCCGGGGGGGGTGTAAATCTTTGGCGGTTCTAAGCGATATTTTTACCCTCGGTCGGTCCGAGTTTAACGAGGATTACAGCTTATGGTATGGCGGGAAGTTTAAACGAAAATCCCCCCTCATCGTTTTCTACCCCATCTAAGACGAATCTCCGAAATTCATCAGAAATTTCCGCGGGGTTCTCCTTTACTTTGTACATCGTTTTTTTTTGCCCCTTCTTTCTGTTTTCGATTTCGACTCCCCTCCCGGTTTCCGGAAATTGCGGGAACGCCCGGCCCCGTCGTTTTTCCGGGTTTTCGGGCTTCCGCCGGACGTCCGGGTGAGTCCGCTTCTTCATGCATAGGAGATAAATCCATTTCTCGCGCGCACGGGGGTGGAAACCACCCCCTCTCGGCCGGAGTTTCTGATAATACGTTCCTGTATCTGCATACCAACCTGTATTTAGATACGCGATCCGCAGTCGGTCAGGGTGAGAGGGCTGGGGGAGGGGGTGTCGTTTTTCAATGCGACGTCACACGTAAATTGTCACACCCCCGTCCCCTCGTGACCGACACCGGGAAAAATAGAAAATGGAAAGAAGGCAACCCTATTATCGGCAAAAAATGTCATCATCCACCGGGGTGGGGGTGACAGGTTATTTCGCGATTTTTTTTTTTTTATTCCACCCGCCGTAAAGTATTCCATCTAGATGGTATTTTGTCCCGGGGGCGTCTTCGCCCCCCCTCCCCCTCCCCCTCCGTAACCCCGGGGAAATTTGGTATTTTTCCGAAATTGTTTTCCGCCCGACCGCTGACTGTTTTGATCGACATTCGTTAATTCGTATTAACGGGATTGCATAAATGGAAGCGCTAACGCCGGGGGCGAATTGCCCCCGAGGACGGGGCGGCGGGCGGCGCGGAAGTTTCCGAAGCTCAGCCCCCGATATTTACAAATCGATGGAGGGGGGTAATAATGGGCCGTGAAGGGGGAGGGGGGGGTCGTATTCCAATAACTTTCTTCGAGTGGGTATCGACTTCTCCACCCCTATTAGCATAAACTACCCCACTCGGTCGTTAAGGGCGGCTGAGTTAGCAACCCTCTGTTTCCGTTTAAAGTGCTCCCCCGGTCGGATAATTCCGAATGAAAAATCAACCCCCTCCCCCGGCTGGGCGGGGCCCCTTTAATTCGCCCTCTCCGGACGAAAAAAAAAAGTTATTAAAAGTAAAAGGGAAAAACAAGGGAAAAGCGGCGCGATAATTTGTTGCATTACGGGGGAGGGAGGTGGGAGGGTGGGATTGAATTTCCCGTAAATTGGGGATGAAAATAAATAGGAAACCGAAAAAATGAAAGGGAAAAAAAATTCACCAGGGATGTGTACGACGCCGGCCGGTAATTGAGGGAGGGCGGAAAGGGGGGCACAAAGTCGGGGGCGGAAAAGCTGCGGAACTTTTCTCATTTATTCACAATAAAAGAATAGCGAAGGGCCGGGTGGGGGGAGGCGGATCGTATTCCGATAATTTCCCGCGGGTCAATATCGACTTCTCTTTCTTTCTCTCTATCCCTATTAACGTAAACTACCCCCTGGTGTCGTTAGGGGGGTGGCTTCGGGTTTTCACCGGTGGAAATTCCCGGATAAACCGACGACACGGGACGCTGCTGATTGACCCGGGGTGGGTTCTGAATTATGTGGCGGGGGGTTGCGGGGGTCGCGAAAAAAGGGAGCAGGTTAAGGGTGGG